TAATAATAACTGATAATTATCTAATTAATAACAGAAGGAAAATATAGAAGCTGACTGCATGAAAAAACTAAAAACATTTGAAATATACCATTACGTTTTCTACGTGGCATTATCCCACCGTTAAATACTGCTACCACTGAAGGAAGCATGCCAATACTGTGACAGCCCTTCACATTACTTCTGGTCTGGATGCGGTTGTTGGAAAGCACTGACACTGGGCCAGCACTCTGATCTTCCAAAAGCAAACAGACTTTTAGTTAGTCAGCATTAATCTGCAACATCAGCAAGACCTGAATTTATTCTGAGAGTAGATGGGACCCTTCCTTATTCCTTCGCCTACACCTATTAACCACACCACCACTGCAACAAATATTAAGGACCCTGACAAGGCTATTACAGGAAAGGTGTGTTATTTTCAAACGTACCAACTGACAAGAAGCAGATAATTAAAGAATTACCAGTTGGAGGGCAAAAGACTAGATTACCAGCACTATCCTTCAACCTAGCAGGGAGCAGACTGAGGACACCTTGGACAGGGCCTCGTACACGCTGTAGAAAGATGGTCCCAGCGCCTGTGAGGGCCTCGAGTACGCTTTCTCTGCGCTGGCAGACGAGGACAAGGGAGGCAAGCGCGCCCACCATGGCCCCCGTCGCCCCCCTCTCGGGATGGTGCCTCTCCGCCACCGCACGCTCGCTCTTCGGTAGCAACCGGGTGGCTGCAGAGCCATCTTCCAGATGAGGTTCAACCCGCCGTATCAAAAGCTTTATTTTGGTAGATCCAAAGGCAGTTTCAGGCCCTATGTTTCCAGTTAGTTAACAGTCTATCAGAGGGACGCCGGAAAGCAGTTTAAAATGAAAGCACTTTTTTTTTCCCCCCTTGTTCTTTTGTTTAGTCAGCTTCTCCACAAAAACAGGCTCAAGGTAGCAAGCAGCCTGCCCTAAGCTTCTGGATAACGAAGATAACTTACTAGCCAAGCCCCCCGCGCTCTCCCTCCGGGGAGGGGGAAGCG